ACCACACGACCACCGGGATCTTGTCGGGTCGGGTCGGGTCAGAGGTGCGTCACGTCCTGGGGTTGGGCCCCTCCCCACACCAACCGCTGAAACCCCAACCATAACCGCCTAACCACCACCACTACAACCATTATAACCGCCGCCGCCCCACCCGCACCCCGCAGGCCATAGCTGCGCTGTGGACCCTCCTCACCGCCGGCATCAGGGGCCCCGGCGCCCCCACCTGCAGCCGGCCGCTGGTGCTGTGCCCGGCATCGCTGGTGGCCAACTGGGGCGCCGAGCTGAGTCGGTGGCTGGAGGGGCGGGTGGCGCCGGTAGTGGTGGACGATACAAGGGGGGAAAAGGTGATGCACCTGCCGTACGGCAGTGTAATAATGCACCCGTACGGTACGGTAAATGTACCGTGCCAAGTGTTGCCGTGTCGCCTAGTTTTTGACTATGTGTCGTATGGTGTATCGTATTGTCGTATCGCGTACGGCACACGTATTATATGAGTCACAAAGTTATAATTAAGATTAGTGTTTGGGGTTCGTTGCTGGAAACTGGTGGGTTTTGAGGTTTTGCAGTGTTCCGGTATTTCCAGAGCTGCTCCTGCACCTGCCCTGCTCCTGCTAAGGCCCCCAACCTGCCCTAACAGGTGAAGGAGGTCCTCGCCACCTTCGGTAGCCGCGTCGTCAGGTCGGGGGGTAGGGGAGGTGGGGGTGTTCATCGGGCCCAGCAGTACCAGGTGCTGGTGATGGGCTACACCACTTTCCGTATGCACAGGGAGGCGGTGGTACGGAAGGGTGTGGACATTGTCATATGCGACGAGGTGGGTGCGGGTGGGGGTGGGGGGGAAGGGTGGGGGGTTGGGGGGCTGGGAAGGCGAGGGAGAGGGGGGGAGGGGTTCCCACTGGGTTGTGGAGTGGGGGAGGGACGGGGGCCAGTTCAGGTTACGACAGGGGGCCCGGGGGCCGGGACAATCCCCCGGGTTGTGGGTTCCACGGGTGTCTGGTTCCATGTAGTGTTATGGCGCTGCACTTATGTGCTGCTACTGCCAGTGCCACTACCACTGCCACTGCCACTGCTGCAACTGCTACTGCCGTGACTGTTTAATGAAGCAGTTATCTTTCGCCGTGGCGGGTATTTTCATTTCATTTCCCCCTCCCCGCCATCCCCCGGGGGCCCAAACCCGTCCGCCCCCCTCCGGCCGCTGCATGTGATTCCAAACCCCACCACTGACCCCCCCAGGCCCACACGCTTAAGAATGGAGAGAGCCAGCTCACCAAGGTGGGCCGGTGGGGGCGGAGGGGGGCGGAGAGAGGGGAGGGGGGTCCTGTCCTGTCCTGTCCTGTTCAGGGGTGCACGGCCCATCCCCCCGGACCCCGACGGCCAAATCCTGACAGATCCCCCGAGCCCCCCCTCCCCCTCTCGGTCCTTCCGCCAGCAGTCTGTAACCCCTCCTCCCGCCACCCCCACCCATTAATGGGCGCTCTAACTCGGCTTCCCTACCTCCCTAACCCCCACCCCCGCCCCCCCTTCCCTGGGTGGGCAGCTTCACTCCTTCTGCTTCGTCTTTCCCCCCCTCTTTCCCCCCCCCGGACGCCTCCTCAGCTCAAATCTGGTTCCGTGTCTGCATATGTCCCCTGGGGATATCTCCTCCCGTACATATGCCGTTCCCCCCCCCCCACCCCGTCAGGCGGTTGCCGGTCTCCCCGCGCGCATGCGGCTGCTGCTGTCGGGAACTCCCATTCAGAATGATCTGGCAAGTGCGGCAGGTTGGAGAGAGGGGGGAAGAAGGGGGAGCAGTGTAGAGGGGTACGGTACGGCGACAGTACGGTATGAGGGGGTGATGGTCAGTCCTTATCTAGATCAACTTTGAGGCCTGCCTTGCCGTACGGGGGAAAGTACGGAGGTTGGGGGGTTTGTATCGTAAATACCCCCTTAGTTAACTATTTATTGTGCAGCACTCCCACGACAGCGCCGGGTCATCACCCAACACTTCCAACCCCCAACCGCCAACCGACCAACCGCCACATGGGGGGATCAGCTCCGTTTTTCCCTTTCTTTAAACCAAGCAACAAAGCTAGCGCTCTCGTTCTGTTCCTTTCCCTTCCTGCGAGTTTTCCCAACAAGTACGGAATTTCGGTTTCGGGAAATTGCAGTAATGTGTTTTTTCAGTCAGTCAGTGAAGTCGGTGAACCTAACACGTCGCCTGGGAGAGGCCCCAACAGAGCCGCCCCCCCCCCTACAGGGCCAACCCAACTGAAAACAAAACCCTGCACCCACCTGCAGACCGAGTTCTACACGCTGTTCAATGTTGCCGTACCGGGGCTGCTCGGGGAGCCCTCCGCCTTCCGACGCACCTTCGAGCACCCCATCCTGCGGGGGCAGGACGCGGACGCCAGTGACGCCGAGGTGGCGGTGGGGGCGGAGAGGTCGGCGCAGCTACTGCAGCTGTGCGGCCGCTTCATGCTGCGCCGTACATGCGGCCTGATGAAGAAGTACCTGCCGCCCAAGGTGGAGCAGGTGGGGGGGCCAAGGAGGGGGAAGGGGAGGGGGAGGGGGGTCCCTTAAGGGGATACGGCGACTGGACGGATGGATGCGTGTGTGTATGCGTGTGTGTATGTGTGTATGTATGTATGTTCCCTTAGTCTAGTTTTGAAAGGGATCCTTTGTTTGCATCGTTAGCGGTAGTGGTGGTGGTGGTGGTGGGACGATGACGATGAGGGTGGCGGTAGTGTGTCGAGGATATAGGTGGGGCCTGGGGTCCCGGGTTATGTAGGGGGGGTCGGGGGGGGGGATGGTTGTGGTGGGTGGTGAAGGGCGCGGGGTACGGGGAGTGCAGTGCAGTGGGGTGGTGGTGG